TAGTTAACGGCCTTTAACATCACAGTTAGCTTCTTTTAGCAACAAGTCCATCTGGAAACTCCATAAATCACCTCCCTAAGATGAAGATTGACGGATTGAGTATAAAAGTATAAAAATACAAAAAAATTTAGTTTTTGTACATTGTTTGACATGGACTAGACTTTAATAATTAATTGTGAGGACACACACGCAGTCAGTACCTCGGTGATGCAGTCCTCATGTGTCACCACTCTCACTACGTCCTCCAGAGGCAGCAGGGATGTACATTTGATCTCAGTGTAAACGTTCTTTCCCTCAGCACAGGCTGCCAGCAGCTCCACCAGAGAGATGTGATACCTGCAGACGGAAAGAAACGACATTCAAACTCTGGAGAAAACACATGAGCTCATGAGTCTACAACCTGTAAAAAAAATCCAACAAACACCAGGATGTACAAAGATCTCTGATGATCTGCGGTTGGAATTGAGAAGTGACAGAAAAACTAGTTTTGCTGTTTGAACATAAAGACAAAGTCAATAACGTAGAATCGTAAAAGCATTTTAGGTGAATTTCAGACCAAGAGTTGGGGGCAGCTAAGTAGAGTTGAGCTGGAAAGTTAAGGATTTATTTCCACCAAACTTTGACATTTGTCCCCAAGGATTAACATCATCTTATGCTTTCACAAATACTTCTATATCTGTGTGAATTACGAGTTTTATTTTGATTCTGCCCATTTTGAAGTGTGTTTTATCTACTATCTAAAATTACTAGTTTTGTCAGTGGAGTCTGGTGGGACGTGGCACCCACTGTGGCAGGTGAATTTAGCATATATAACCTTAAAGTATCTGAATACGTCTTCCACCGTTGATTTTTAGTGAGGGTACACAGTTGCCATAGTTACCTGAGCGGGCTGTTCTCGCCGACCCCCTCCCTGCTCTCCGCCATCAGCTCCAGCATGACGTTGAAGGAGGCCTTGTCGTTGTAAAAGACGACCACGTCCTCGCCGGAGTTAGTTAACTGCAGAGAGACAACAGCGTTACATTGACATCCTGAAGCGTTCTGAGACAAAGTGACGCGTATCGTCCTCGTCCTCACCTCCGTCATGATCATGTCCTGACACTTCTTGACGTACTTGCCCTCGGCCTTGATGATGGTGTGGAGGAAGTTGAGGTACTGAACGTGGCGGCCGTGCGTGGCCAGACAGTGGATGAAGTGCTGAAGGACGCTCTCTGAGATCTCGCTGCACAGCTGGTAGTTGTTACTGAAGATGTGCTGCACCGTCTCTGCCTCCAGCAGCTGCACACGGAGGAAGAAAAGGTCAAAATGCAACATCTGTTCTGATGTTTTATGAATGAAACAGTCATTTAGCTCCTGAAATGTCAGAAATAGAGGGGGAAGCAGTGGGACGTTTATATTCCTGCTCCCCAGAGGATGAACCCTTTAGATCTCAATGACCTTTACATTGTTAGTTCCACTGTCAGTGAGACTGTAAGAATAAATAAATCATCAGGATGTTGTTTGTCAAACACTGTTGTGTCTCTAATTAACACTGCAGTCTGTAGGAGGCGCTAGTGTGTGTGTGTGTGTGTGTGTAAGCAATGATTAACTGAAACAAAATAATAATTTTCTGCAGATTGATCAGTTATGGAAGCAGCGTACCCCAGGGTTGAGGAAGAGACTGAGGTTCTTGTGCAGCAGAGCCTGGTTCTCCTGGTTCCCCGTACAGAACTTCTGTAGGAACAGGTGAGTGTACCTGATGATCTCCTGCATCTTCACATCGTTCTGCAAACAGACAGATAGACAGACAGGGAGAGAGAGACAGACAGACAGACAGAGAGAGACAGATGAAGCTGAGCTCAACGTCTCTTTTCAAAGTCCAGCTAACAGACCAGATTCCGAAAGGGTCAGGAGCTTTTGTACAAAGAGAATCCGTTAGGATGCTTTTATTTTGGCGGTGTCCAGTCTCACCTGGTCGTAGGACACCTGCAGCAGGTCCAGCATGACTTTGTGAGCTCCCATGTTCTTCAACAACCTCTGCTGCTTTTTCCAAACACCAGTGCTGCACATCTTATTTAACCTCTCCAAGATCTACAAAGAGGAGTGATAAAGAGTGAAATAAAGGAAAGAAAATAACTCCTCTGATTGTGATATGTTGATGAAAGCTGTTTAATTTGCTATTCTTAACATTAATTGTCCCTCAGGGAAAGAGCATACTGGCTAATATGAGTATAATTTACTCTCCACTTAACTTCCCAACGGACAAAGTAAACATGATAAATTACGCTGAAACTGAAATAATGTTTCTGTTAAACTGATATAAAAAGATAAATATAAAAGTTCTGGTTATCACTTTAATGTAGCAGTGATAATTATATTTACAATGTACATTATTTTAACAATGATATGTGAGTGATAGCAACATAATAAGCCAAAGCTTACCCTGTGTTTATATGTATGTATTTTTTTATAAATGATTTATTATTGTATTATTTCTTTCTTTTGTATTATTAGTTTTATTGTTATTATTGTTTATGTTTATTTTGTCTTTTCTGTCTCTAAAGTCTTTGTTCTGTATGTTGTTATCTTAAGAAGCAATAAAAACTTAATTATGCTGGAAATCACATTTCAATTAAGTCAAAGCATATATGTCTATACATTACTTACTGTGTGGAGAAACATGTAGGTAGCAACAGAATCAGGAGGACAAAAATCAATTCAAATATTCACTGAATGTTACTTGTGGGGTTCCCCATGGCTCAGTGTTAGGCCCATTATTGGTTTTGTTTTACATATTTTAAATCATATTTGTCGAGTTTACAAAATGTTCAAATGTATTTTGAAGATGATACAAAGAAAGAAGAGGAATAGTAAAATACAGTGTAAAGAACTGGTTTAACAAACTATCGCTGAAGTAAATTGATTATCTTTGGTTATCAGAGAGCAAACTTAAGACAGGTGATGTAAAATAACATTTGGGAGTGATGCAAGAATCCATCCATTATTTCAAAGCAACTCTGTCTAAGCCTGAAATTCCACGGGGTATGGCTTTATAACGTTGTATTTGCAATGCGGTTTGGCTCTGTAATCCGCACGTCTTCAAATTCCACTGAGAGCCTTTCTGTCCTTAAAAAGGAGACAAAATGGTCTGTTTCTCCTCTTCAACTCTCCTCTAACTGACTGACTTCTGATCTGGTGCCACAATGTTGATTGTTGAGTCTGTACGAGGTATTTTATTTTGAAAATGCAGCACAGAAATAAGACATACAAAAAACTACTCATCAAGAATGAATGAATCCTCTGTTTATTCAATACTCCAGAAGTCAGAGGTGTTGATAGATTTAGTATAAAGTTAAAATGAAAGTATCCAAAAATGATTTAAAATGTGAGAAAACCAATATGACACACATAAAAAAGAGAGAGGAATAATATATAATTCATTGTATTTCAGTTAAAGGTCTGAATCCACGGAACATTTAAACACATTATAGAACACCATTTAGGCATAAAAGTTTTTGAAATAATTGAATATAAAAATGTGAACTGTTTGATCAAAATGGCATTTTGGTTTTTTGGCAGGAATATTGTAACTTGTGTTTACTGTTACTTTTGATGCCAAATAGGTTATGTATTGTCTGAATGGTGGGAGTCTTTTTTTTTTTCTTTTCTGGCTGATGGCGGTCTGAGGATGTAAGTGGTTTGGTGAACGGGCTAAAACTGTATGAGTTAAAGTCATAAGACTAAAATACAGATGATTCTGTACCATCACAGAACAGCCTGCTTTAAGAGTTGAGAGCATTTACACCTTGATTCCACCAGGGGCGGCTCTGTAATGACGCGTCCGTAACATGGTTTTCATTCTCCAAGCAACTGTGAACCTATCGTTTTGAAGCGTCCAGTTTGGCATTAGTCTGGTGTATTTAGTTTTTGTAGTTTTTTCTTGATTTGTGTTCTACCGTGGTTTTTAAGATAGGAAGTTTGCACAGGGTGTTTTATTGTGAAAATTGACCGGATTCTTAATATTGTTCCTATGTCGGACTTCCTAACCAGCTTAATCTGCTGTTCTGTCCAAAATAGACCAGCTGTGTATTCTCCTTGAGAGCTTCTGGAACGGGTCTGCCTAGAACAGCAGTAAACAACTCTGGTGAGAAGCTGTACCCGGTGGAATCAAGTGATCAGTGGTAAAATGGACGGTATGAAAACCACTTTTGATAAACAATGTTGGCAGTTTGATATGCTGGCAAACCTTATGATTCAAAACAGATATTGTTTTTTTCCCTTCAAAAGATCAAGGAAATACAAGACAATCTGGACTTGGAGATTGGACATAATGGCAAACTGAACACTTTGAAGGCAAATCAGACACAACAAGAGGCAAACAATCATTTTGATTGGCTCAACTTCAGAGTGTAATTTGATAGAAAAGGAGGACGGTGGATTGTGTCCTTTTGTCTCTCACAGTGTAAACGTGATTGCTTTAGAGCCAGTATAAGCACAAGGAATGATTACATACACTGATAACTCCTTCAGTGTGTACATACTGTGAAGGCATGAAATTTGATCCTATCCTTTAATTTTCATCTTTATTTCCATTTGGCAGA